GGGGCTCTCTTGAGGAAGAAATATTTAAGCTGAAGCTTGACCAATGTATGACTTACCCAAGCAAAGATGGAGAGTGGAGAGGTAAAGAACATTCAGGGTTAAAATATATGCATAAGTATTCCAAGGTAGAAAGGGGCTTGGGAAGTTTGTTAATTTAAAGTAAGGTAGGTGTAGTTGAAACTCAAAAGGGGATGGAGTGTGACAAGTCTGTAACCAACAGTAGCAAGATCATGAGAGTCTTTATGCTTAACCACTGGAAGAACTAGCCTAAATTGGAAATGGGGTGTAGCTTAGAATAAGAAGGCAACAGAAGTTATGGAGAGATGGGGACAGGTTCAAGATATTTTTAGGAGGTAGCAACAACAGAGTTCAGTGAATGATTAATATAGACAAGTTGAGATAGGTATCAAGGATTCCTGTTGAGTTTTTGGCATGTGATCCTAGTAGATAAAGGAGAGTACCATGATAAATAATCCTGAAAGAAGTAAAAGTCTACTAAGGATAATCAGTTATTAGCTAAAGTTGGGGCATGTTTTACTTTTATCTTCCTTGGAGCTATCTAAATGTAAAAGTTCAGTGGCCTGTCAATAATATTTGTTTTTATCTCAGGCAAGAGCACAGGACTGTAGCTATTTAAACCTTTAGTCAGTCCTACAAGATCTTTTTTTTTTTTTTTAAAGATTTTATTTATTTATTTGAGACAGAGAATGAGAGAGAGAGAGAGAGAGCACATGAGAGGGGGGAGGGTCAGAGGGAGACGCAGACTCCCTGCTGAGCAGGGAGCCTGATGCGGGACTCGATCCAGGGACTCCAGGATCATGACCTGAGCCGAAGGCAGTTGCTTAACCAACTGAGCCACCCAGGCGCCCAGTCCTACAAGATCTTTAAAGATCTGATCTCTGATGAATCTTTTACCTCCCTCTTGCCACTCTGCACATTATATCATTTATTTCATCTTTAGGACTTCTGGTTCCAGACATGCCCCATCTCAGTCACATGTTGTACTGTCTTGCTTGCGTGCCTGTATTTTTTTGTTCTTCTGGGAATATCCATTCTTCCTTCCTCTTCACTTGCCTAACTCCTATGCACTCTTCAAAGTATGGAGAAGAGTTGCTCTACACGTATTTGTGTCCCTTCAGGTCAAGTGAGATGTTCCCACAGTGTTCTTCTCCTGCACCTTGTGGTATTCTCTTTCATGAACTCATTGCATGATCTCATTTACTGATTTATCTTCTCCACCTAACTGGGAGTGCTTTGGAAGCACAGCTTGTGTTTTTATCTCTATATATCCATGCATAGCATGGTACCTGGCACATAATAGGTGCTAAATATATATGTATGATAAAATTTTACAGGTTTGCAGAAAAAGGAGGCCAAAACAATAGTCTTTGAGGACAGTGAGAGATAATTACTAATTATGTATATGACTTGATCAAAGTTATGATACTCTGTAACTGAGAGGGAGCACAAATCCTTCCTGGTTTAGAATTTTCCATCCAGTATCAAATGTCTTATTTGGAGCAATCTATTTGATACTATATCTTGTTTCCATCTGTAAAATTTGCCAAGTGAAGTTACCTGGTTTTCGCTGCTCATATGTTTGCCTTCATTTGATCATCAGTAAAAGCATAAACAGAAAAAATTCTCAACACATAAAGATATCGATAAATAATTTGGACTAAATACACAGTCCACAAATGAGAACCTGATATTTACATTGTTGGTTTTGAGGAAAGGAACACCATATTCTATTTCAGAAAGAAAATCAACAACTTGATAACTAACTGATATTAAGTTAAAATTATATACAATAAGCTTTTTAATTTTGAGCAAGTTACAGTAAAATTTAAATGATATGGCAAAACCCAAACCATCCTAGGTCATTTTCTCAAGTCTTTGAGAAATCCAGACTTCTCTGAAAAGTCTCCTCAACGGATCCTGAATTTTAGAATGGAGAGCAGGAAAGCCAAGAAGGCTTTTTTTTTAATTTTATTATGTTATGTTAATCACCATACATTACATCATTAGTTTTTGATGTAGTGTTCCATGATTCATCGTTTGCGTATAACACCCAGTGCTCCATGCAGTACGTGCCCTCTTTAGTACCCAACACCAGGCTAACCCATCCTCCACCCACCTCCCCTCTAGAACCCTCAGTTTGTTTCTCAGAGTCCATAGTCTCTCATGGTTCATCTCCCACTCCGATTTCCCCCCCTTCATTTTTCCTTTCCTGCTATCTTCTTTTTTTTTTTTTAGAGGGCTTTTAAAACATATAAGAAACTGTGATCCAAAATCACAGTGAATATAACTTTAAGATAGTGTCACTGACCTCCCTTACCATTCTTTCAAAACCCCTCAGCACTTTGCTTCTTTTTTATAGTAATAACTGACTTCATAGGTAGCATAAATATTTGTGTATTTGTCTGAATTCTTCTTGAGTTGAAAATTCCTTAAGGGCTTGAAATGTGCTATATTAATCTTTTCTTTCTAGAGGACAAGCAGATTGGTTGGCAAAGAGTAGGCATTTACATTTTTTCCGATTGAATTACATGCAATGGTTATCTCTAATGATTTACTGCTAATTAAAAAATAGCATGTGTGTTTATTACAAAGGGTTGAACATCAGGACTTTGGTCAAAACGTTTCTTATTATTCCATAATTACTTTACCATGGAAAAATCAAACCATACTTAATGTCTAATGCTTAGAGATACTCATTTTAAAGATTAAATTAAACCTTCAGTTTATCCATATTTGGCACCTGATTAAATTAAATTAAGGAACTAGGGGGGTGGGGGGATGGGTTAGCCTGGTGATGGGTATTAAAGAGGGCACATTCTGCGTGGAGCACTGGGTGTTATGCACAAACAATGAATCATGGAACACTGCATCAAAAACTAATGATGTAATGTATGGTGGTTAACATAACAATAAAAAAATTATTAAAAAAAAAAGAACATAAGGAAGGAAATAAAACTATGCAAATCCTTCAAATATTTCAAAGAAAAACTCTTCAAAAACCTCAGTCAGTAGGATGACAAACAAATCTGCACAGAATTGAAAAAATATTCATTTCTTATATAAATTGTGAAATAAGTATCCTTAATAGGCATATTCTTCTCTAATTTGTATGATTTTCAAAATGTAGTAATATGAATTTCCTCTTGAGGGGTCATTAAATCAGCCAGACGGAGTTATAGTTACATAGCTTGAGCAGATGAAAAGTAAATTATTGAGACATTTACCTTCCTCAAACAGGATACCAATGGAAAATTATGAACCAATATTTTCATTAGAGAAGACAAGAAATGAAATGATGGGAAAATTGAATTGATAGTAATGAAGTGCTCTGTGTTTCCACTTTCAAACTTCTTCCTCTAAAGCTATTTTATTTATAGCCAGATAAAGGTAGGATTTTAGCTGTCTGTTAGTACAGAATGTCCAGTTAGCTTAATTTCAAATGATGGATGTATTTCATGGAAATCTAAAGAAATCATCATCATATTCTTCTCATTTCTTCCTCTTGAATGAGCCATTTATAATTTATTCACAGATATTGCCCTATTCAAGCCATTAGATGGGAAAGGCTGATGAGCAAAGGTAGCTTTTTCAAACACAAACCCATATAAAGCTTAAACGATGATGAAAAGTAATGAAAAACAGAGTGAATTTGTGATATCATAAATGATATATTGTACTGTTAAATTTTCCAACAAGATAAAAGATTCAGAGCTTTTGCCTAGAGATTTCTCCTTTGCTGTAATTCATAGTGGGTTATGCAAAGTCACCAGCATTCCAGAAGCAAGATATTTGGGAAATGGATTTAAATGATTGCTTCTAAAACTTTACAAAGTGATTATTTTCTCTTCAGAAACAAAACTCAACCTCTTCAGGAAGTGCTTTCTGATTAACAAGGCATAAATTTCCTGCACTGAAATCTTACTAATCAGTTCAACTGATGAAGTCTTACTGAATTGTGGGACATTTAAAAATGAGTACATTTTACTCATTTCAGCATAAGTATTCAAGCAAATATCCTATTCCATATAACATTTTATATACACAGTAGGACCTTGAATTAAAATTGTCTGATGAGCAAAATAAGAATTAAAGGATCATACCCATTGGAAGTGATGGTAGGAGATACTTAGACAAAGGAATAGAGGGTCAGGGATGAGGTATATAGTCAAAATTGCTCACAGTCTGGGCAACCAGGCAACCATGAGGGGTCCAGAACTATGTGGTTTCCTCAATGCTAATTTGTTTCTAGACAAAGAGTGCTATAGCAGACTTGGAATTTCCAACTGATCCTTTAGAATAGCTCTTTTGCAGGAGTAAAGCAATGTGAAAGACATCTTTTCTGCTTTGAGAGAGGAAGAAAACTTGTTCCCAATTGCAGTGTTTTTGCATTAAGTACAGTAAAAAGAAAATCATATAGGAAGAATGAAACATGGCTGAATATTTGGCTCTAACAATATTTTGACTCTTTGAATCTCAGTTTCCTCATCTACCAGATGAGAATGGTGAACAAAATTATATCTATATCTAAAGTCTTTTCCAGATGCACCATTAACATGGTTAACTAATTCTGCAATAGAAGATCCAGACACTGGATCCAGACACTGGATCCAGACACTAAGTGAACAAATGACCAAATAAGCATGCAGTCACATCAGTTATATTATCCAGACCAGAGCTTTTCAAATGCAGGTAGATATCCATTAGTGGATCCTGAAATCAACTTAATGTATTCCAACCATCATTTATCAAGAAGAAATAGAGTAGAATGGAAAATATGAGAGTGCACAACAAGAAGTAAGGGCAAATATTGTTTCTTGAAGCTTGTATTATGATGGCTTATATATTCTATATTTATTTGTATGTGTACTGGGTCATAGTAAGATATATTTCTTATTCTCCATAGACATCAACAGTATTTATCAGCCACTTATTTAGAGTGTCTTTATTTGGGCTAAAGGAGAAAAGAGGCTTGTACTCACCAATAGTGGGGTCATGATAATCAGGGAACTGATGACTAATAAACTGCATTGTCATTGCTGAAAAAAAAATAAATTTAATTTAATAAAAATTCACTGATTCATCAATAAGTTATTCTCCAATGTAATTCATCGGTCTCTCAATAAGATCTAGTGACTTATTTCTCTGAGTGACTAATTTAATTATGCAACATGAACCACCAAATGATAGCGAAAATTCTAGAGGAGAAAAAGTGTTAACTAGAAGGACAATAATGTCAGATACTTCTCTGGAATAAATATGTCAAAATTTTCAGTGTATTTTAATAAAAATTGCATTGTAGTAAAAATAAAGCTCTAGACATAATGAGAATATAAAGTAGCTGTAGGATCCTTCTTGGCTTGCGTTGGTGTAACAGTTGGTATTGGTTGGGAAGATCTTTTAACTAAAGGTCCTATACGTATTCTGGGACTTATCTTCCTCATCTTTAAAATAAGGAGATAATCTCTGAGGTCTCTATTATTTATAAAGGTACATGATTATATGAGTTTTTATCGTCAGCCAGCTTTTTAGTTAAAATAATTTGTCACTTTTATTTTGCCTGATCCATGCTATTCAGGTCCTTTTATTAATTTTCATTACTTTGGGGGGTATCTCTCCAAATTCTCCACATTCTTTTCAAATCAATAATTTTATAAAACATTTATAATGTTTCTGTTATAGTTTCTTCATATAAATGTCCATTATTAGGAGACAAATGGAATGCTGAAGTAAAGCAACAAAACTTGGAAAAAGAATTTGTACATAGTAGTTCTCTTCCTTTTCTCCCTCCTTCTCTCTGTGCCTGTGTGTGTGTGTGTGTGTGTGTGTGGAGAGAGAGAGACAGACAGACAGACAAAGACTCCCTGATCATACTTTAGTTAGCCTCCCCTGAGTCTTCCTCTCAACCAAATCCTGACCTAGGTCCCTGCCCTTGCTAGACCTGCATAGCCCAGTGGTAGCAAGAATCCTGCTAAGTCAGGTTGGTGAGAATCTCCCACCCTTGGTAGCCGATCCCCTTGGCCTGCCTTTTAAGTCTGACAAGAATTCCCTTACTCCTGATGGCTCCCGTTAGTAATTTTCCATCCCCCAATGCCCATGCCCACTCCTAGCCTATAAATTCCCACTTTTCCTTGTTGTATTTACAGTTGAGTCCAGTTCTATAATGAATTCTCTTTTACCTCACTGCAATAGTTCCTGAATAAAATCTATTTTTACCTTTTTACTGTCCAGCTCTGGCCTCCTTTAACAATGTGTTCATGTTTCAGCAAATGTTTGAAACAGGGAAGACAGTTAAATTCAACAAAACTGTACAAGGCACTAGTCTAACCCTGATGAGAAATGCAAAGAAACAGAACCTGACCCAGTGAAAAAGAATTTCTGTTTACACTTTGATAGTGTTTGCTTCCTGTCTTTGCATTGACAAAGGAAGCCTCCATATGAAACTATTACTCAATTTGACAGTTTAGGGCAAATTTTTGAGATGCAAATTAACATTTCTTACAGAGGGCTTTAGGAGTTAGAATATTTCAGGTAAACAAACTGAAAGCAACATGTTTATTAAGTAGATATCAAGGAGAATTTGGAAAACGTTTTTTGTGAGTTTTTAAAAGAACATTCTCCTCTGTCTCTTACTGCCTGTCTGGTTTAGTTCCAGCTAGAGTACAGAGGTTGGGGGCCTGGCCTCCCATTGAATACTTGGTGTGGCTAATCAGTCAACTAAATTTCAATGACAGCTCAGACTTGGTAACTTTAGAACTAAAATGAGGAGATTCTCCACTCTACTCAAGGCAAAAAGATATGCACCTATTCACTATGTGACAAGAGCCTCATCATCCATCTTATGATAATCAGTTATCTAGGCTAAAATCTTGAAGATGTCTTTGGACATTTTCCCTCTCATATCTTCCATCTAGTCTTCATGAATTTTCATCTTACCTCCAAAATATCTTTCAAATATGTCTTAATTCTTTCTGATATTACTGTAGTTTAGAATCTTATATTTTAAATCCCTATTGCCTTAGACTCAAAATTGGTTTCTCTGTAGCTATTTCCTTTACTTTCCATTAACTTTCACATGACACCAGAGTCATCTTTTTAAAAAAATCTGGTTATTCATACGTCAGCAACTATTAGGATAAAGAGTAATGTGTCCTTCATGGACCCATCATATCTCTTCAGGCTTGACTTCCACCACTGCTCAACTAGCTGCACTGTGTTCTCAGACTTATGGAAGGAAGGACTTTCTACCCATGAGCATGCCTTTATCCTGTAGCGTAGCACAGCTTCAGCTTCTCCTTCATTTTTATATCATACTAACAAAGGCTCTCCTTGACCAAACCTTCATCAGGCTCCTCTGAAGCCTCCTTCTAAACCAGGCCATGACCTTCAGGCATCCATGCTCATCTCTGCTTTGCCAAGTTTTAGCAGGAATCCTACTAAGTCAGTTTGGAGAGAATTCTCCACACTTCATATATGGTCACCCTTGATATCTGATCAAGTTCCTCATCTCCAAGCCCCATGATTACTTTGGACTACCTTCAGCAAGAATCGTATTAAGTTTATTCCAGCAGAATCCTCCTTACCCTTTTAGTAATTTTCCATCCACTGACCCCCAACTTGCTCCTTGGCTATACATTTCCACTTGTCCCTGTATTTGGAATTGAGCCCAGTTCTAGACTGTGGGAGTTCTCTTTCCCCTACTGCAGTATTTCCTGAGTAAAATCTATTTTTACCACTTTACTTCCCAGCTTTGTTTTTCTTTAACAATGTTAATAATATCTCCACTCAAATGTCATGCTATTCCATCAACACATTTAAATTCTTCAACGACCAGGAGCCAGTACATGATAGTCCTAGAAGTTCACAAGAAGCATTAGAAAACACTGTGTATAACTAGGGGCTGGGTTAATTTCTATAAACCTAGGAAAGAATTATGAGGGTGAAGAAGTTTGGAACAAATTTGGGGAAGAATATATAAGCATTTTAAGAACTGATAGATATATTTGATACCACACTTGAGAATCACAAAACCAGTATCAGAAATAAATAAATCAGTCAAAGATTTACTTCTTACACTTACATATATTTAGCATATATTTAGATGATGGAGTTTGTGCTTTCAGGGAAATCTGCTGCTCATTGTATAATTGAAAAAGCCCTTCAATTCTCAAATCCTTTGACCTACCACTGAGACAGAACCAAAGAAGAGAGAGCCAACTGAGCTTTGTTCCAGAACTTCAAAAGATAATTTTAGAAAGATTGATTTGTAAAAGTTTCTTTTGTGTTTTACAAAGTGGATGCCTGATGGGATATCTAAGAGCCAGTTCCCCTTGCAGAGATGATATGTAAAACAAACAATTTTTGAAAAATCTCTCCTAAATACATGTCAAATTCAATGTTGGAGATAACTAATCTGCTAAATATCTATTGATTGTACTGGGGACTAAATTTTATTTATTTTATGACATACAGGTTTACTTCCTTAAAATCTGAGGATTCTACTTTGTTTTGTCAAAGAACCATTCTGTCAGAAACCCAGTAATAGCTCCCCCTTTCTCTTTGGAGGTTTCATTGTATTGATTTTATAATATCTGAATTCATTGGTTTTTAAGTATCTAATGAAAATGAAGGTATGTCTCCTTCCCAAAATACAAATTCTTATACACACATGTACACAATATTGAGAGATATTGTCCTAGCAAATAACCATAAATGTCAGAAATCAGTCTTTTGCTTAAAAAGAGGACAATCATAAAAACTATGATTTAAGAGCTTCTGAGAACCCCAAACTCAAATCTGCCTCTCCAGAATTCCTAATATTCAATGCAGATATCCATATCTTACTCTGCATTTTTGTTTGTTTGTTTTTTTAAGTATTCCTTGAGAAGTAGTATACAAAATTCCTAAACTTGAGTGTGAACCAGCTTGATGGATCAGTTAACAAAATCTATCTGGCAATCATGAACCAATTATAGTCAGGATATTCAGGAAGACACAGGAAAGGAGGGCAAGATATTACTAGACATAAATTTCACAAATATTATCCTAGACTTATTCTGTCTGTGGCTTTCCTGTTCTGTAAAAAATAACAAGAGTCATTTTGGAAAATTTTGAAGAGGAGCAAGCTCACATTTTCCAAAAGCTGCTACATCAATAGATTCAGAACATTTTTCAGGGTTTACAAAAAAATGTAGTCTTTCAATAATGAGAGAGGTTTGTTGGCTTTTTTGGGGGGTATGTAATGTATGTATGTATTTGAAATAGTTAAGGAATGTTCTACAAAGTACTGAAACTCTGGATGATATAAGGATGGGTCTATTGTATTCAGAGATTCACTCAGAGTCAAAATCCTTGCTAGTGCACATTTAGCAGTTCTTGTCTCAGAGACAGTATTACTGAACTCAGCAGTATGTGGATATTAGCCAGGAATAAGAATGCTGAGGAAGAAATGAGAAGGGATGATGGGAGGCAAGCAAGCACAAAAATTGGTTGGATCCCATTAGGTAACTTAGAGCCCTTGATCCAAAGAGACTTATGTGTATGAATCAAGTAAATACTGATATTGGACTACAGAATCTCTGTATCAAAGGGAGCCATCAGGGTATTTATCATTTCTTTTTATGAAGGCTATTGATTTGTATATGCTAATTTTAAACTCTCTACCTTCCTAAAGTATTTTATTATTTGAGCTATTTTTATCATGACATATTAGGAGTTTCTATCATATCATCTACAAATAGAAACAGTTTCCAATTTTTGTTTTGTAATTTATCTTGTTAATACTCACTGGTTAATTCATCCATCCATGATAGTTTTAGATAACAGTGCAGACAGGGATCATCTTTGACTTTTTTCTTGATCTCAGTGGGAATAACTTTTATTTATTTTTTTTAAATTTTATTTTATTATGTTATGTTAGTCACCATACAATACATCACCAGTTTTTGATGCCGGGATCCATGATTCATTGTTTTCGTACAACCCCCAGTCCTCCATGCAGTATGTGCCCTCCTTAATACCCACCACCAGGCTAACCCAT